TCCTCTTAAAATAACAATTAAAGGTGAGAAAGTTTTCTTTCAATTTATTAAGAACATAAATCCTAAACAGCTACAACTTTTGTGTAAACAACACAAAGCAGTTGTGGTCAAATATGCGAATCAACCTGTTTAATTGATTTGTAATGGAAAATTGTAACTTCATTTCATGAGAAACAAAGACATGGGGGATGAAAAAAAAAACAATTCATAGTGTGTTCAACAGTGCTCTACACGGTAAAAAAAAAAAAAAATCCTAAAAAAAAGTAATATTCGGGCAGCTGGGGAGCCAAAATAATACCAGAAAATAACAGAAAATAACTTTCTCATAAAAATACGGTTATTTTCAGTAATGACAATACAGTTTGTTGCCTAATTTTACATGGGATTTTGCTTTTTTCAAGTGCTTTTAAACATTAAATTAAGAACATTTTAACGTGATTAAACAATGAAATTACCTATAAACAAGGTCAATGAATGCGGCAATATGAATAATAATACTGAAATATACAGTTAACAGTTGGTTTAAATAATAATTGATTGCATTCATATAGTGCTTTACAATTCCACTTTATAATTCCCCTCTGGCCATCACCAGTAGGTGGTAGGTGAAGTGTCTTGCCTGAGCACACAACGACCGAGAGTCTCTGAGCCGGGGCTCGAACTGGCAACCTTCTGATTACAAGGCAAACTGCCAACTCTTGAGCCACGATCGCCCTAAGTAACAATAATAATAATAATAATTATTTGATGTAAAAAAAAGTTTATAAGAATCATTTTATATATTTTTCCATAGCATTACATTTGAATTTAACAGTTCAATCTTTCAAATAATGGACAAATATTGGTGAAATGATGATAAATTTGTGAATGTATTTTAACAATCTAAATATGCATATGTACAGACAGATACATTTAAAAAACAAGAAAATTATGTTTTATTACATTCACAGTGATTTTACGTTAATTTACATTTGAAATGTAAAATCAGTCTATTGATGTAAATTGAATGATGTTCTAGAAGAACAGTACAAAACTGTAAAATACACAGTAAAATACTTTTATATTACAATTTATTTTACAGTGTATAGTAAACACAGTTTTTAAAACCTAAAATACGAACTATATTTCACATTGTTAACAAACCACATATATTTACCACATATAATCCAAACCTCACAGAGTTCAATAACCATCTTGTTCAGAAGACCTTAAGCTACTTGTGCAAAGCCCTTAAAAATGAACAAGCCTTCAGCAAAACTGCAAGAAAACAGAAAATTAAAAATCCCAAAAAATTATGCAAAAAAGAAAAAACTTTTAGTGGCTCCTTCTAGTAAAACTCAAAGCAACAAATTAAATTATCAGTTAAAGCATGAATGCAATAATGCAAAATACACAATGTGAATGCATATTCATGTTTGTATAATAAGTTGATTTCAAAGGAAAATAACTAATGGTCATCACAAACTAGAATCCTACTGCGATTCTCTCTGTTCTCCACTATTGCCTGTGCTTACAATGAGATACAAAAAGAGCATTGTTCTCTGACAGCGATTGAAAATTATAACATAGTTTGCAATGGTATTTTGTACAATATCTTATTTACTTTTTTACACACATTTTTTTAGTTCTTCAAATATATTTAGAGAACCACGAAAAATTAAAAACATGTTAAAAATGTATGCAAATACTTTTTGTCCACTACATAGGGTGTATATTTTTAATTATCCAATGGTATCACTGATCTGCATCTTTTTCTTGACTCTATTTCCTGCGTTCTTGGTGTAAAAAAATGTTTCATGCGAAACCACAGATTCTCCTTGGAGGCCCAATATTACAATCCCAGGTGATCTGAAGGAGAAGGAGTCTGTCACTATAACCTGCTCAGCTCTCACTCCCTGTCCACACTCCCCTCCTCAACTCACCTGGAATCTCCAACAAGACTCTCACAACAAAACAGAGCAAAACACAGATGGAAGCTTTACAACTAAAATCCAGCAGAACATCACTCTGTCAGACACACATGATGGAAAGAAGATCAGCTGCTCTGCCAGATATCCTGTGAACCAAGGAAACAACACCAAGACAGCAGAGACAGAAGAGACTCTCAGTGTTTCATGTAAGACACTCGGAGGGTTTTGTTTGGTTGTTTTTTTTTTATCCTGTCATTAAAAAAATGTTTAAAGGACTTCATTTTTTTTCTCCAGATGCTCCTAAAAACACCTCAGCATCCATCAGTCCATCAGGTTTGGTGTCAGCAGGCAGCTGGGTGAACCTGACCTGCTCCAGCAGAGCCAAACCTCCAGTCAGCAGCTTCACCTGGTTCAAGAAGAGCAGAGATGGAGCTGTGAAAGTATCTGAAGGAGAGATTTACAGCTTCAATGTAACAGATGGAGGAGTTTATTACTGTGTGGCCACTAATGATCTGGGTAATCAGACATCAGCAGTGATTCGTGTGGCTGTTGCAGGTAACAGCTGTAGCCAAGATCTGTTCTCAAATGAGTTTTTCTTTGTGTCCATGCAAAATTAATTGTTGTTACTTGATCTTTTCTTTAGGTCTCATGTCATCTGCAGTCACACTGTGGCCACTTATTGGTGGAATCATTTGGATTGTTGACCTCTTACTCCTGTAATGTTATCTGCTTAATGGTTTTTGTTTGGTAAGTATCACACTTCAAAGCAGAAAACAGAAAAAAAGTTGATGACACAAATATGTTACCTGCACATTAAAAATATTTGTTTCAAATCACATTTAATTTTTCTCAAATCTAAATTAAACACAATCCATACTGTACTCAATTTAACTGCCGTTTATTTCTTCCTGGTGATTAAATATAGCTCCTTTGTTTATGATCATGTTTATACAGTTTTTCCATGCTCAGATGCTGTGTGTGCTCTCCTGTGATTTATTTGTATGTTAGATATCTTGGTATAAATGTCTCAGAGTAAACAAAAATGTTGTTCAAATGATGTCCAAATGCAACAAAACCATCCTGAAAGCAATTCTGTAAAGATTAAATGTGATACTGTGATACTTCTGATTCATCACACAATAATAAACTAAGTACAATTTTTGACAAAGTGGGATTTTGCCAAAATGTTAGTGAAAATTAAAGGGTTGTCATTAAAGCATGTTTTATTAAAAATATTAAATTAAGAACTCTGCCTTATCAAATAGAATAGAATAACCCTTTATTTTAATTGTATATGTACAATGCAATTATGAAATTAAGCAGTTAATAAGTTGTATTTTGTGTTCTTTACATTTGCAAATGTGAAGTGGCAATACATTACAACAACTGGAATTAATGTAATTATTAAATCTTTTATTCAAATTCTTGGATTTTATTTGCTTGATGTTGTGGAAAGCTTTGCTGACTAAAAAATGCCTAAGACACACGTGTTAAATTTATGAGTGTTTAACTGCAAAGTCTGACATTCATCAACATCTTCTTCACTGAACTTTTTTACACTCTGTGAATAAACTCTGTGAAAGAACTTCCTCAGAGTCAAGCTGTCCTACAAGTACAAAGAATTCCAGTAATTCCACATATCATCAGGGTCTTTCAGTCAGAATACAAAATAAAACAGCGACCAATGATTCTGCAGTTGGTTTGGGGTTATTTTATTTATTTATTTTGTTCCAGATTATAAATGGTAGGCAGTTTTACTTATTAAAGTAAGACACATATGGACTAACAAGGTGTTACAATATTACATTTTATTTTTTCAAATCTCATTCATTCTTATGTACCACAAAGCAAGACATACAAAATAATTATCCTAAACACTCATTCAACACAGTGAGATGCATTTAACATCGAAGGATTAAGGAAAAGTATCAAAAAACTGCAAATGTGTTTTATCCAAACACTTGGATAAAAAGTGTAGCAGAGATGTCAGGTCATCACCACCTGGTGGTGTGAATCTGCAGTATTTATTTTATTAATGCAGCATGCTGACTTTTTTAAAATGCTGAAGAAAAGGGATTAGAATCATTTAATCCTGGAATTCATGGTAATTCATCCAGCCTTTTATGAAAGCAATCAACAAAACTCACAAAGTGGTGCAGATCATGTACGTGTTAAGTACTTTTCCATTATATTTTCGACAACAGCGTGTTAATCCCACAGCTGAACCATGAGAAAAATCACACTGCTGCTATTGAATCTAATTGTCATGAAGTTTCTGACTTGTGTAAAGAAGGTAGATTCACATACACTCTGTGAAGGCAGATTAGCTGTATGCATTGTTCAAAGTTTGTTTAAGGCTGTTTAGAGCAGGACTGTGGAGACTCAATGTAGGGACGATGACTGGTAAAGGGAGAGAGTTGGCTTATATGATGAAGGCAGATATACTGTGTTTGCAGGTGAAAGCAAGGTCAAGAGCACTGGAGGTGGATTCATGCTGTTTATCATGATGTAGATAAGTGAAACAGACTGGGGGTAATGCTGAAGGAAGAGTGCTGGAATACTGTTGTAAAAACAAAGAAAATGTCAGAATCATGAGTTTGAAGATGGAAATCGAAGGTGTGATGTCTTGCTGTTTTCAGTGTGTATTCCCCACAGGTTGGATGTCAGTAGAAAAAGAAATTCCCATGACTTATTAGGTGAAGTTAAAAAGGGCTATGAAGAGATTTGGGGTAGGTATGGTCTTAAGAAGAGAAGGACAAATAGTGGATTTTATGAACAGGACTGAAATAGCTGTGGTTGACATCTACTTCAGGAAGGAGGAGGAACATAAGATGATGAATAAAAGTGGAGGAAGTTGTACACAGGTGGACAGAAGTTGCAATCTGAAAAGAGACAGGAGACAGTGAGGTGGTGTCGGGGGAGAATGTAGGTAGGCAGCATCATTGGGTAGTCTGTAGGAGGACTTTGGAACTCAAGAAGATGGAAGGTAGAGGGGAGGATTAAATGGTGGAAGCTAAAGTAGGGATGGATGTTACCCAGAAATCAGAGTAACAGAGTTTCCTTGCAGTCATTTGGATGAGTTTCTTCTTGTTATTCCACTACAGTTCTCAATTTTTCTTCAGGAAAAAGTTCCTCTTGGCCATGAGCACTCTGTGTTGAGCTGTTTTCTGGCTTGTTGACTTTCACCTGTGCGTACACCGTATCCTGCTGCTCACCTCTGTCCCGCACTGAGTCAGAGGGCACTTCGTATCCCAGCGTAGAGAAATTGATCTCTCCATAATGGATGTTTTCTTCCTCTCCTTCTGTTTTACTTGCTGGCTCTTCATCAACCTGATGTTCAGTTATTTGAATCTGTTGAAATAAAACAACAGAAGATTCTATGATTCTGTGAGTTGGGTCTATTCTTATTCATGTTTTTAGACATTTTACATTAACCTTCCTTTTTTCCTTGTTTCAAAAACGGCATTAAAATGTGTTTAACAACAGAAAACCCCTTAGATGTTGGTTTTTCAAATTCAAAGGGTATAACAAAAAATGCCAAGATAACATAATCCACACCATCATATGACAACTAGGGGAACATGGCACCACTAAATGTCACAGAGATGACTCTACAACCCAAAATATATGCAGTTTCCCCTTTGGGTAAATTGTCCAAACATTTCATCTGGTAATCTCACTAGCTATCAGAAAACAACATGCCATTCTGGAGATGGCAGATATGGATCAATCCATTTAGGAATAAGGCGTGTGACAAGTGAAGTATTGTAAACACATTCCAGATATACTAATGCCCCGCCGTAAGAGAGGTCTGGGACAATTGAGTAAAGTGGCTGCCATAACTCTACAACCCTAGCACTGAAGTAACACCCAACAGGCAGCTGGTTCCATTCAGACATAAATGTTTGTTATGTGTTGCTGTAGAGCAACACATAATATGGCAGCTTTCTTAAGATAATAATGAGTGGTTGCAACTGGATGAATGCAGTCATTCTGCACTGTGAAAAAGGAAAACTCTGGTATTCCCATACAGGTTTTTTCCATGCAAAATGGTGTTGGCATTTAAAATTAAATGGCTTTATTTTAGATCTTTGGTGATAATGGGACTATTCTGACCCTGAGAGCAACAGCTATGTATAGAATGTGAAGACAACAAAATTGTTAAATAGTTAGACTGCTCTGATAGAAGTATTATAATAAATACTTATCTGAAGAGTCAGGTAACACTACAGGTAGTAGGGATGGGTATCGTTTAGGTTTTATCCGATACCGGTGCCAAATCGGTACTTTTGAAACGGTGCCGGTGCTTAAACGGTGCTCAAACCGGTGCTTAAAGAATGGAGAACACAAACTTTGTCCAAAAACCTCTCATGTTCAGCTGTTTTGTTTGGTTTTTTTTGTAAAAAGATAACAATGTTAGCCTTTTCTGCAGCTATGGGGCATTTATGGTATCACTCTTGGCTGGAAGCAGTGCTTAAACAATGGAAAAAAAACACAAACTTTGTCCAAAAACCTCTCATGTTTAGCTGTTTCCCACTTTTTCTTTGGTCATTTTAGCCTTTTTGGCCAGGGTGAAGGGAGTATCTGCCATCAAACAAGAAGACAGCCGCATGTAGCTATGATGATGTTTGCTAGTTCACCTTACATGCATTAATGTAATAACGTGGTTAGCCTACTCAACGTAAATTACACACGGACAACATTAAGTGATTCACACAGAGAAGAACGGCTTCTGCTGCATCAATATCCTCATCATTTCTGCTACACTGGCAGGGCTAGGGGCCAGGACTCTATTCTTCGGGTTTTTGGGGGATGTTGCTCCGGTCCGATAACTGGCAACCCACCCAACGTGCACAGTGTGAGGTCTCGCAGCAAGCTATCAAATACGGCGCATTTCTCGGCTTTTAAAAAAAACGCTATGCGTCGCCAGGTGTTTCATCGGATTTGACTCCTTTGACAGTATCACAGTATCAGCTTAAAGCACTTGTTGCTGCTGAGTTTGCATCTTTTACTGTGAAGTACAGCCAGACTTTTGACCGCTTCGCCTTGGACATTTTTAATCTGTAGCTCTGCTCTAACTGAACGTACGTACCTGGCCCCGCCTACTATCCTGGGAAAAGTAAAATGATTGGTTAGAAGTGTATCACAGCTCAGGAAAAAAAAGCACCGAAATAAAGCACCGAAATGTGCGCTGCTTTTCGGTCTGGTTACTACCGTTTATGTCAGAACCGGTGCCATCATGGCACCGGACACCGGTACCCATCCCTAACAGGTAGTGTTGTATTTCAGTTTTCTTACCCGAGTCTGTTGTTGAGTTTGATGCTTTGACTTCAACCACCTGGAAGACGTCAGAGACAGTTGTATTAACTATATTCTGTTTTAATTTAAATATATGTTTGAGCAAAGTCAAGTGTGATGGAAAAAACAGTCTTTATTATAAGGTAAAAATAAAATTAACTAACTGACTCATGTGTTTTGCTTAGATAGACAATACTTACCAAGCAAAGACAATCAAACAGAGTAAGATTAAGAGTACAATGATTCCAATGATTCCTCCTATACGTGGACACTGGGATGAAACATGACCTACAGAAAACAGCAAGTAAAAAACAAATAAAGCATGATTTAATGTTGACACATTGATCCAGCTGTTCTTGTTCACAACCTTAGATGAAAGAAAAAGAAAAAAAAGGAACATTTTGGAGAGTACCTAACACATTTATGACTTTAGCCTTTACCTCCAACAGTCACATGAATCTCTACTGATGTCTGATTACCCAGATCATTAGTGGCCACACAGTAATAAACTTCTCCATCTGTTACATTGAAGCTGTAAATCTCTCCTTCAGATACTTTCACAGCTCCATCTCTGCTCTTCTTGAACCAGGTGAAGCTGCTGACTGGAGGTTTGGCTCTGCTGGAGCAGGTCAGCTTCACCCAGCTGCCTGCTGACACCAAACCTGATGGACTGATGGATGCTGAGGTGTCTTTAGGAGCATCTGGAGAAAAAAAAATGAAGTCCTTTAAACATTTTTTTAATGACAGGATAAAAAAAACCAACCAAACAAAACCCTCCGAGTGTCTTACATGAAACACTGAGAGTCTCGTCTGTCTCTGCTGTCTTGGTGTCGTTTCCTTGGTTCACAGGATATCTGGCAGAGCAGCTGATCTTTTTTCCATCATATGTGTCTGACAGAGTGATGTTCTGCTGGATTTTAGTTGTAAAGCTTCCATCTGTGTTTTGCTCTATTTTGTTGTGCGAGTCTCGTTGGAGATTCCAGGTGAGTTGAGGAGGGGAGTGTGGACAGGGAGTGAGAGCTGAGCAGGTTATAGTGACAGACTCCTTCTCCTTCAGATCACCTGGGATTGTAATATTGGGCCTCCAAGGAGAATCTGTGGTTTCACATTAAACACAGTTTGTACACTGATAATACAGTCAAGCAAAGGATAGAAAAACGTGACAACATTGAATAAAAACAATACAAGATGTGACAATTACTGAGTACTCCCAGACTACTCCTCAAACAGCAGCACATTATTCCATGATTTAAAGACCCAGCTGAGAAACAAAGTCATTGACATATTATAGGCTGAAAGGATTACAAAAGCATTTCTAAGGCTTTGTGATGCCGCATGAACCACAGTGAGAACCATTATCCACAAAATGGAGAAAATCTGGAACAGTGGTGGAGTTTCTTGCCAACCTTCCAAAATTACTCAAGAGTGTATTTATGATTCATCCAGGAGTTCACAAAAGACCCCAGAACATCATCCAAAGAACTGCAGGCCTCCCTTTTCTCAGTTAGGGTCAGAGTTCATGATTCAAAAATAAGAATACGCAACTGGGCAATAAATGGTCTCCATGGGAAAGTTTAAGGAGAAAATAAATAGAGCTAACAGAACACAAGGCACAATTTACATCTGCCAAAAATACTCTTTCGAGTAACAAGATGAAACTTGAAATTTCCTGTTACAACGGGCATAAAACTAACAAAGCATTTCATCAAGAGAACATTATACCAATAATCAAACATGGTGGTGGTTGTGTGACAGTCTGAGGCAGCTTCAGGATGATTTTCCCTAATTGATGGAACCATGAACTCTGATCTCTACCAGAAAATTCTGAAGAAAAATCTCCAGCCAATTGTTTGTGCCCTGAAGCTCACTTGGGTTATGCAGCAGGACAAAGGTCCAAAACGCACCAGCAAGAAAAAAAAAGAACAAACAAACTCAGGCTTACATCCCCCTAAAAATGTAATGCTTTGGTCTTGCTTGGAAAATTTTGGGAAAATGTGGTTGCGATGTGTTTTTAAAGAAAGTGCCATTTTTCATACAGGTTCAGATAGGTCTGCCTAAACCCTGGATGTCCCCAAATACATAAAATGACCATTAAAAAGTGAATGTTTAAATTTACTTAGGTTATATTTGTTTAATCGTGAACTTTATTTCATTTCAAACATGCAGAAGTGACAAATATGCAAAACCTGTTTAAGTTTTTAATCACTAACAGAAAGGATTTATCCTTTTGCATCCCCTCTAAGTGCAGGGAATGTTGGGAAAGAGATGTAAAGATAGATTTGTGTCAGGAAGTTAGTTTGTGTTGATGCATCAGTAACTTGTGAAGAAGTCACTACTTATTCATTTGAATGATTTCTTCTCTTTGATTTTTAATTTTCAGTTTTCTTGCAGTTTTGCTGAAGTTGTGTTCATTTTTAAGGGCTTTGCACAAGCTGATTAAGGTCTTCTGAACAACTGGTATTGACCTCATGGAGGTTTGAGTAATATGTGGTAAATATATCTGTTGACAGTGTGCAGTACAGATTTTTAAAACCTATGTTTACTGCAGAGCACTGTTAAATACTTTTTAAACTTATTTTTGACTGAATCCCAATTTTACTGTTCACAATAAAGAATACAAAATATAATATTATTATAATATTATTATAATATTCTGCATTCCAGTTCACTTTACAGTTGTGGTCAAATAAACAGAGTGATATCAGCCTCTTTATTTGACCATAATGCTTTTTGATGTTTAAACTGCTAATGATTGGACTTTATATTCTTAATAAGAATGAAATGAAACTCTCTTACCTTTAATTGTTATTTTAAGAGGATCACAAGAAGCTGTTGCTCGGAACGGCCAGTTCATAATTCTGAAGTAGTATGTGTTTGTATAATTTGTGGTTAAATTGGAAAACAGAGTGGTGCAGTTTTTCTCCTTCAGGTTTCCTGTAATATTCATTGGATAGATGTTAACTGTCCCACTGCTGTTTAAGATCTCATTGTTTGGATGTGCAAAAATATCAGAATTATTTTTAATCCACGCTCCAAACACAGGTCTTGTGCTGTCAAACTTTACTGGTCCAGCATCACTAAAGTTACATGGGATTTGTAAACAAGATCCACTCAGAGCTTCCATCTCTGTTGGTGCAGTGATGAACAGGTAAGTTGTTGGAGGACAAGCAGCTAAAGAGTCTGGGAATCCAGAGAGCAAAAAATAAAAGTTGAAAATCTAAATGAAGAGAAAATTCATATTTACAAAACTGACTTTAAGATTCATGGGTTTGCTTTTTCTCCTGTTCTTTCTACACCTTCGGTACAAAATGTTTCACTTAACTTACAAATATAAAATGTGTGACTTTGTAAAGTTTCTCTATCTGCACTGATCTGTCAGACTGTAAATGACTGTAATGAGACGGCTCACTTGGAATAAAGAGGAGACTCAGTAACATGATGCCTGTCATGATGTTCACAGACTGGACTATCACAAAACAAATCACCTGTATAAAGAAAATACATAATTACACAAATAAAATATCAAACCAGAAATTATCTTTCATAAGGTGTTTGGGTTTTTTGTAACATGCACAATTGCTCAAATTTTAAAACAAATGTCTTACCTAATGATCAGACTGCTACAGACGAGAGACGACAAAGTAAAAGTCAATGTGTCATTTCAGCAGAAACAGAGCGAGTGAAACACTTCTCTGTTTAAATGTTGTAATGTCAAAGCAAACTGTTAGTTTTCTGTTTTTCTTTATTCAGTCAATCTGCTTTTTATGTTCCCATCAGGCACACTCCTGTCACTTCAGACACTGCCACTCCCACCTGCCTGCCTCCACATTCACCTGTGCTGACCCTTCACTCACACACTAACCTGTTCCTCATTCCTTCATTATGTCCCTTGTACTCAGAGTCGCTCATTTCAGTTGTCTTCTTACTTTGTTTTATCCGATCACTTTTTTCTGTCCTACAATCTGATCTTCATTATTTGTGACTATTGGCTGCTTTGACTTTTTGACCTTGCATTTTTCCCTTAAATAAAGACTTTTAAAATCTTATATCTCACTCCTGAGACATGCTGTTGGCTCACAATCATTCTGTAACATAAATTTATTTTGATAATAATTGTTTTTGGAGCCAAACGTGTTATCACACAGTATCACGGCCTGTGTTACCCCAGACATGCACTGCTTATTTCAAACTACTATAGTCTGCACATTCAAAGCAGTGGTGGGAAATTTTTCATGTGTGTTTCCCACACTCATTGAAATAATAGCTCAGGTTCCAATTTAATCATTTGAGCCCCCAAACCCCCTTTTTGATATGTTTCTTCTCAGTTTGCTGGCTGGATTTACACAGTGCTTTTCTTGTCTTACTGAACATTCTGATCACTTTTAACAACATGTCACACTTTTTGTATACATCCATAGCCTATAGAGTTTCACCCAATGGTAGCTGGACATTTATTTCAAGATTTCAAGCTCCCATATGAATAACAAATCCCATAAGAAGATAAAAAAAAAACTTGTTGGCAGGAACATAAAGACTCAAATTTAAAAAGCTGAAGTATGTGGAGATTACATTTTGCAGAACTATTTCTGTTTTTGTGAAAAAAAAGAGTTCCTCCTTCAACTTCTGCTTCTTGTTATAACCACAAGAAATCACCTGAAAACAGTTATTACAGGTGAAGTTAAGACAAAAACTTAACTTAAAAAGTGGCAGGATGTTGTTTGTGTAATTTCACTAAACTGTAAAAGAGACACATTTATAGGTTTCATATTTCTTGTTAATGTAATGCTACTTCACTACAGTTCTCGTATTTTCTTCACCTCAGTGTAGAGTTCTTCGTAGCCTTCACTCGTGTTTACATATCCTTCTCTTCTCTTGGGTCATAGAAAAAACCACTCCAGATTAATGGAGAAACCCATTTATATGGCAGCTTTTGGCTGACATGTAAATCTGTTTATCAACCAATAAATGACTGATTAAATAAAAGCAGAAACATTTAAACACATTGGGGAAGTTTGTTATCAGTCAAAGTTTCTGCCACCTGTGTGAGTACAGGCACCCAAATCTCTGTGACAAACCTTTGCAATTTCCTTTCTTCCACACATGATGTCATCTAAATATGATCTCTAGTGATTTAGTCAGCCTTTTATGCCCATATATGAACACACGAATCAAACTCAGAGCTCTCTGACGAGAAGAAAACCACTGAAGTGTAAATTTCATACCATATCAGTCATCAGATACATCATATACTAACCAGTTACATCTTTATTAAAGTCTAAACAACATTAAAGTCTAATGTCCAAACAGGGTTTAAAGCAGTTTTTCTAACTAACATTAACATAGTAATACCTGCAGCAGGAGCAGGGTTTGTTTTCTTTAGAGAAAGGATCACTCCCAAGGAGAGACAACTGGAAATATGTGGAGGCAATATAAAATGCCAGGGGTGTGTGATGCTTTGTATTAATAAAGACATTTACTTCATAAATAAAACTAAAAACCTAAAAATTACAGAAGTGCAGGAAAAAGTTTCTCTCACAATTTCCTATATAGGGTTAGACCCCTGTTAAATCTTCAGATACTTCAGATTCACAGCTCCATCTCTGCTCTTCTGTAGTACAAAGTCTGGTCATCTGTTCATGACCTCAAGCTGAAGCACACAGGTTTTGCAGCAGGGCAATTATCAAAAATAAACCATCAAGTCTGTCTCTGAATGTCTTAAAAGAAACGAAATAAAGGGCTTTTTAAGGCCTTGCCTAAGACTAAACTCAATGACGCTGAGATGGTGTGGCATGACCTTAAACAGACAGTTCATGCTCAAAAACCCTCCAATGTTACTGAATTGGAACAATTCTGCAAAGATGAGTGGGCCAAAATTCCTCCGAAGCTTCATAAAAGAGAACTGCTAAAAAGACATTGCTAGTTAGCACAAATGCTTGATTGCAGTTGTCGCTGCTAAGGGTGGCCCAACCAGCTAATATATTTAGGAAGATTTTCACACAGGTAGGTTTGAAATTCGTTTTTCCCCTTAATAATAAACACCTTCATTTAGAAACTGCATTTTGTGTTTACTTGTGTTATCTCTGTCTAATATTTACATTTGTTTAGTGATCTGAAACATTTAAGTGGGACAAACATACAAAAAATTGGATATGAGGAAGGAGGGAAACACTTTTTCACAGCGTTTAATACACCGCTCAAAAACATTAAAGGAAGATTGAAAACATATCAGAGGTTAATGGGGGGAAATATCAAACTGATATGGGTTAGTTATGTGCAATACAAAGCAAAATTCAAGGTGGTATCAACGATAGTGATCTGATTCTGATATTTTGTACATACATTTAATGTGTTATTACTGTATTTTAAATTATAGCTCCATAATTATTAGAGGACATCAGACTACTTGTTCTTATTGTTTAATTATGAAGAATTATAATATAGATATAAAGAACCTGAAGCTTTCTGTTAATTGGTATCATTATATCTTGTTATTTAAAATGTATATACGGGGACTTCAGGATGTGCTTTGCCGTGTGAAGACGTGCGTGCGGAGGCTCCGTGTAAAAGTAGTCAAAATAGTGATATC